ATATATATATATATATAAGAACAATATTACAAGTGTGAAATATGGACGGCTGGTATAATATAAGTGGGCTAGTAGGACTAAGCCCTCCCTGACATTTACAATAAAGTTGTTAAAATCAACAACTTAAAAATACCTACTTAAAAATAAATATATTTTAGAAATAATGTATCACATTTTGTTAAATTTTCAACAAAATTGGTGTCAAACCTGGGGTCTTTCCAAAGGGCTAACTTCTGACAGCCTCATTCAGCGTAACTGTCTTTCACGGCTCAGAATGATTGGCAGGCGTCTAGCCACGCCCCCTCGGTTTGCCGCGACCACAGGACTCATCCAATCATGATGGACTTGCCTCGAGCTCGAGTGTGTGTGGGCGTGGTTTGGCGTAGACCGAGTAAGTGCGATGGCGAGCAATATTAGCCTAAGCGAAGTGGATTATTTAACCTTTTTGCGTCCCAGTACAGTCGTCAGAGTGAGCTTCTCTTTAAATAAGCGCAGGTAGGCGTCATATAAAAACATATCGTATGTTGTTTCATTTTATTAGTGTGATTTTGTCCAGGAGTATTGGGGAAGTATTTTTGGACAACTGCAGAGGCTCTATGCAAGCTTGGTCTTTGGTATGTTCTTATTTTTCATATTGGATGCGTCTCTTATTGGAATTTTAAAAAAAAGATACCCACACTTAAAATGTCACCACCAGCCGCCACTGTTCTTATGGGAAAAGTTAAAATTCATTGGCAAAATCGTTGGCAATATATATTTTCTTATTTTAGACTTCAACAAATCCAAACTAAAGCAAATGTTTTTCCCTCCTATACATCCCTTGCCTTACTCATAGTGATCATAAAATTGAAATACTTCCACTTCTCAAAAATTTCCTCAAGCGGTCGTAAATTGCTTACATCTGACGTAATTATTTCTTTCCGAAGGCAACAAATTAATAGGAAGAGGGTCGCAGGTGGGGGCGATACTGAAAATAATATCCGAGTGGGACCTCCTGTTCCTGTTGTCCCATAATCTCTGTTGTCTTGGTGGTGTCGTTTCCCCGCTAACCGGTTCAAACTGTAGGAAGCTGGTAGGCGGCTGACAGCTGGACAAACCTCCAGCTGTTAGCTGGAGGACTGTCCCTGAACAGTTTGTCTCCGCCTGTTCAGGGACAGACCGGGATATACTTCCTGTCTGTCTCTGAAGGCAGCCGAACAGTGTTGTGAATGAACTAAGCACCTTAATGCGTCTCCCGTAGCCGCGATGGCAGCAACAAAAACGGTCTGAGCTTTAGCTTTAGCCATGTAGCTAGCTGGTGTGTAATATCAATGTTGGTGTGATTCGTGCCCTCA